TGGCTCGGGCGACCTCAACTTATCAATTGCAGTTGAGGGTCCCCCAAGGTGTAATTTATATTTGAACCTCAAACTTCAGTGAATCTCTTTGACAATCGTTTACTGTTCACCTTTAAGAGGCCCTTACAGAAACACGGTGCTCGAGGTGGTCAGGCCCTACGGGCGCCTAACCTAAGCCTCGTTCATAAGCGACTAATCTCGAGGGCTCCCTCGGGAGCCTCGGCTCGGGCCGTCAATCTACTATATATACTATACGGATTGGAAGGCCGCCAAACTCTTAGCTGTATTTGGCGGACGCTCCATTGAGAAAACATCTAGGGGCAAGGGGTCCCCGAGAGCGGACCTCGGCTTGGGCTATCCTCAAGAATGGTGCCCGAGAGGGCCGGACCTCTACTCGATCGGTAGCCATCGTCGGGCTAGGACACTGGCTTTCTCTGCTAACCCCGGTAGTCGAAGACGCGCATGCAGTTGCAAAGTACGAAAGCGTTTTGCTAACTAAGGTCACATAACACATTAAACTCACCCAAGGGTTTCGAAGTGTGTTGTTGTGTTGAGAGAAACTCGACATAATTTAAACGAGGTGTGGGATTTTCCATCACTCGTTTCCTTAACCCCAATAATTCGTGTTTTATGATGTTGTTTGTGCGATTTTTTTTCACAGTAATGTGTTTAAGCTCTTGAGTAGCAATTAGGTAAATAAATGTTATGGGCATATATGCAATGCAAATGTATCCAGTTGGTCAACTTTGCATGACAGTAAGGATACATGTTGCCTTCAAGCTTGCATTTAAAGTCGTAAGTTTTAGTTTTTCTTACTCAATTAGATCTTAAAATAGGGCCAAGATTTACTAGTACTCACTTAAAGATATTTACAACTATGGTGCGGCATATTAATCTGGTTCGTCTCTGGTCCGGTCTAGTGTTGTGAAGCGGTGGTAGTTTTTTTTTGACGTTCAACATGAGTCCAAATTAAGTCTATATTGAATTAAGAAATTATGTCATTGTATATGGCGAATTACATTTCAGGGCATATAAATTCTTCAGTAATGCACTCAATCTCTGACTTTATTTTCTATCTAATGTCTAAAGTCAAATGATGGTTTCAAATCGAAATTCTCCGCTCACGGGTGTAATTTTTAACAATCTTTTATTTTGGGCAATACGCTAAGTGACTCGAAAGAATCACAAGTTTGTCTAAAGAAATAAAAATATTGACTGTAGCTTCTCAATTTTTTTTCTTTTTTCATGGCCCACTTTACTATAAGGTGGCAACGCATCGGCAACCCAAGTGTTGCAAATGTCCATCGGGTGAGCCGCCAGCTCGCTTGCCACAATCTTGCAAAAATACGAATGAACTTTCAAGATTTAGTAATGTGCATGGTACAGATACTAAGGACTAACATAAATTAGTTCTACACTGATATAGACTGCGTAGAATATGTAAATCTTTTATGGGACAATGCATACGCTTTTACAATAAAATCCCATGAGAAAACGTTCAAAATAAATCAGCTGCTAAATTCAAAAAACTTGTAAAGGAACGTTTGTGTGTTAAAGGCTATCATACTATTTGTATTATTTGAATGATAACACACTCTCAAAATGAATTGATCGCTCCGGGCTCTTTCAAGTGGAATTTTATGTACTGTATACATGTTTGTTATATTTTTATCAAATTACATTAAAAGAAATGTCCCGCTGAGTTTCTTTCGCCGGTTCTTCTCAAGTCAGTGGCTTTTTTCCGCACCAGTAGCAGTGTTTGTAGTGTTATTGAATAAAGACTCATAAAAAACTATCGATGTAAAGTGACATACAAGTCAGTGCCTAAACCGCAAGAATCGGAATTAAATTTATCAGTTGATGCTTTTTACATCGTGACACACAGTAATAAAGGAGTTCAATATAAATGAAAATAAAACATAACGTATCTTTCGTTACTCACGCATGATGATTTCGTTTCCAGTTGTTAAAATATTGTGTTCGTTGCTACCGATCAAAGTTATTCAGGGACGTTAGTTTTCCTGACATCGTTTTTTACGTTAAGTGTTGCCGCTGAAATGAGACATTTATCTTGTTGCCAATTTATAATTATAGAGCTCGTTTTGCTCGCTCATCAGGCAAAATGCAAAAGTTTTAACACTTTTCCCTTTCGCTGGCTGATGGTGGACCTTCGGAGAAGTAGGTTGCAACAGCAGAAACTGCTGCGGTGCCTAGCACATATACTTTTTTCTAAATAAAGGTTATGTGTAACGAGTGGTGACGTTGGCCTCCCTGTATATTACATATTGAATAATGGATACAATGTAATAAATTTTATAATAAAAATCTTTGAGAGCTAATCAACGAAAACATAATAAAACAAATGGAAGAAGTCTAATAAAATTACATTAAATTAACAAAAAAAAATGGGTTTCCCACCTTCCTGCATTGTTCAGTATGAGTTTCTAAGTCATTGAGAACAAGTTCCTGAGATTTGAATGTAGGGAGTGTAACGCTTTTCTTTTACGTGTCGATATCTGCCAACTCAAATATGCCGCGAGCCGATTTAAAGAACTTCGGTCGAAAAACTTTCCTACAGTATACATATGGATAGTAACATATTTAAATAATGGAATGTATAATACAGTCATTAATACTTTTGTCCGACAAACAAGTCTTCAAGTCAACAGACGTGTTGTTATCTAAACTAATGCTAATATAAGAGTATAAAATCAATCCTCAGAAGCGTCCACTTAGATAGTAACTGAACCTGTTTAAGGTCAAGGAAGGTCAAAGTTTACGTAATACATAAACCCTAAAAAGGTTAACTAATGTTATTTTAATAAAATATCTTTAGTTTTTTTACAAGTTATACGTATACGTCACATAAATACAACATTATCATCGACACCATTTCAGCCTGTTAGAGCTATAGTCGACTGCTGAACATTGGTCATCTTTATAATATTAATCAACTTTATAACATTAATATTTAAATTATTAATGTTGTCAGTTTGCTTCATATTGTGAGTTTCACATATTTAACTGATTTTTATTTTATTATTTTATAGTCATTTCTACAAACTTATAGTGTTGGTGGTAAAAATAAAGTAACAGCCTATACATGTCCCACTGCTGGGCAAATGCCTTTTCCGTACAGAGGGTATGTGGGCACAGTCCGCCATGCGACCCCCTTGGTAATTAGCAGACAATGTACGAAAGATAAGTCAGCATTTAAATGTGTCAGACGGACAGACAAACAGCAGCGGAGTCTTTGTAATAGGGGCCCGTTTTACCCTTTGGGTACGGAACCCTAACTACCCCGGGCGCCCGGATACTGAGCTGTCATTGCTGTAGCAGAAATGTATTCATGATTATTACTACACCTTTAATTGGATTCGCCGTAAGCAGGTACTGAGGTGGTTTGCAAGTGTGAAGAGGAGGGGCTCATAAGCCAATAATTAGATGGTCGCCAAGTTTTAATTAGATGGAATCGACAGTGAAAACAGTAGGACTATACCCTGTACAAGTTTTTTTCTCGACTTAGAACCGTTTTAGAAATTAGAATTTAGGATTATAATATTATTAAAGTGAAATATTTAAATATAATTTTTTTATTAAATATTTTTTAGTACAAATTTTTACACAATGTTCTCTAGTCCCAAGCTAAGCAACGCTTGTAGTACATAGTAGATGTCAAAAGCTAAGCAACGCTTGTAGTACATAATAGATAACTAATAAACATACTTTCATTTTGTAAATAAATACATGTTATATTTCCAGTGTCTGTGAATATACCAGTGTTCCATATTCCAGTGTACCACTGGAAACACTATGCTCATCACACAATGTTTTTCCTCCCACACCCAATATTACGTACGTATTATTAGAGGAAGGTTCACTTCCCACAACACCAATTTACTATGTAATTGTTGGTTTTCTTTACATATATTTTGACAAAGTTTCATTCAAAGGCCAACAAAAATAGCCTGAAAGGGTGAATATGGCGAAATGATTACTTTTGCTTGCTCGCAAATAAAACAAAATAAGAGCATCCAACAAAAGAAAAAAAAAGTCCAAATTGATGTTTTGATGATGACTCCTCAAATCAAGACGGAGAGCTACTACACCGCAGAGTTTCTTCTTCTTCTAGGCTTCTCTACACCTGTAGAGAAGAACCTGCAAGAACCTTAGACCTCTAAATAAGTCACCAAGTGTTCGTTTTTAACGTTCACTAACGGCTTAATACAAGCATATATATATTTTTATGTGAAAAGGCGGCTCTCCGTTGGGGGTTGTAGGTTCCATTCCCACAAAGAAGATAGAGAAAGAGAAGGTGGCAGACGAGCTGGCGGTTCCCCTGATGTTTAATGATAACCACCGCCCATTAACATAGGCAACACGCAGACAGTTTTCATAAAGCGGGTACCGGGTACGTCACGCACCAGACGCAACGCAGAAATGTAACACTTCTACTACACGCCGGTCTTCTGTGAGGTCGTGGTACTTACCCGGACGGACCTGTCCGTTCGTGCGACAGAGGCTGTTGCGTGGTCCTACCACAGACACTAAACACTATTATATTGAACTAGCGGACCCCACAGACGTTGTCCTGTACACACGTCTTAAATTCGAAAATATCAACCTTTTTTGAATAACTTTGTGAATCTAAACCATTCTCGAATCCACCTGTGTGTTCAACATAAAAAAATTCATTAAAATGGGTCCAGCCGTTTAGAAGGAGTTCAGTGACATATACACGTACAGAAGAATTATATATCACTACAAAGTATAAAATAAAGTCGTCCCGCTGTCTGTCTGTTCCTATGTATGCTTAGATCTTTAAAACTGCACAACGGATCTTCGTGCGGTTTTTTTTACAAATAGAGCGATTCAAGAGGAAGGTTTATTTATGTATAATACATTGCACCTGTGCGAGGATTGGGCGGGTTGCTAGTATAAAGTTGAAGCACATTTAACTTTGACTCATGATTTTGAAATCGTATTTCATTTGTTGTCAGGGCCTGTGCGATTGGGGGGCGACGCGCCATGCGCGGTAGGGCGCCGCGGGGTCGGCTTGCCATAGCGGGCACGGCCGCCCTTCTCGCCGCCGCCGCCCTAGGCGCCGCCCTAGCCTGGACCCAGATCTTCGACGCGGCACTAAGTGCGGTGAGTATTTCAATTTGAAAAAAATAATCAGCACATCAAAACGTTTAAAAAAATATGTGAGAAAGCGGCAAAGAAGCCTTGGGTTCACCTGATGTTGAGGGATAACCGCTTCCCATGGACATTTGCAACACCCGTAGGGTTGCAGATGCGTTGCCATCTTTTAATAAAATGGGCCCCGGCTACCTCACTCACCTGACGAAGCGCAGAAGTGTAACACTTCCCGACCTGCCCATTCGTGCATCGGCGAACACTGTTGCGTGACCCAGTTCAATAAAGTAGTAAAAAAGTGACAGATCTTTGACTTGGCCCTTAGTGCTGTGAGTGTATCAATTGGAATAAAATTTATTCGACACTTCACTTTCATTTGTTGATAAAAAGTTTTTTTTTTCAAGTGCCAGTCTCTATACGTAAGATAAGACTTAAAACGTGACTTTTCATAGATAAGGGGGATGAAGATGCAGTTTGTAATCGCGCAGCGCCTAAAGTTTTATCCATTTATCGACAAAAATCACACAAGAAGTTGTTCCACCCATATTATGACATCATTATCAATATCGTTTGTTTTTACAAATGAATACATATATTCCAAAAAGTTAAACATTTATTTATTATCTGAATCTAGCTATGACAGTGGGGCCGCATGGTGGACTATGCGTATAGAGTTGCCAAAAGGATTAAAAAAGATTAAGTTAAATTCTTTGAATTGATCAGAAATGATTTTAACCAATATTCTATTAGATAATTTAGATATTACCAATATTAGATTTATAGCCGACAATGTTGCTCGGAAGCCTTACAAGTTATGTCAGTAATAAGCTTAGATCGATTTTGCATGAAAAATTGCTTGATCGAATTATCGTTTTAACTTGTCGTATGGGCTGCCTACATTGTTATATGTGCGAGAGTAGGTACTCACACTGGGACCGGTGTCGAATGGAAGTATTACACTTCCGCGTATCTTCTGGTGGCTGAGGTAGCCGGGGCCCACTTTACTAAAATATGGCAACGCATATGCAACCGTACGGTTGTTGCCATGTCCATGGGCAGCCGTTATCGCTTAACATCAGGTGAAACGATCACTTTCTACCTTCTCAAATAAAAATAAATAATTTTAGCAGTGCCCTGTAACATAAGTTACTTCCGCAAACTAAAATAGCCCCGGCCTCGAATACTAACCTCGATATTTTACTTTTAACTTTCGATATTCACTAAAAATAGATTATTTTCGTAGTCGTATTGTTATGTTTGTAAGGTCAATGGCCCTCTACTAAATTTGATGTCTCTGGCGGTGCGCCAGAAAGCCCAAATACACGAGACGCGAATGAAACTATTTCAGTGATTAGCAAACCGACATCAACACAAATTATAAGCATTATTAACGAAAAACAAAACTGACTTCAAATATCTCGCTCTGTATTCATTTAAGTAATAATTTTCAGGAGGCCCCTAAGTTTCTCCGGAGCCCGAGGTCCAATAGCAATGAAATTAATGCGGGACCACATTGGAAGCACAAGCTTTCAAATAAAAAAAGAATCACCAAAATCGCTTCACTCAATCGAAAGTTCTGAGGTAACAAACATTAAAAAAAATACAGTCCTCCTATTTTGAAGTCGATTGAAAATAAAATGAAAATAAATGTTGCATTTGCGATGTTGAGATCGCTAATTAGTATCTCAGAATTCTGTTTTCGGTTCTTTCGTTGGGATTTAAGAGCTCCAAACTTTAAAGGGCTCCTAAAACCACCTACTTTATTAAACTTAATTTGAACACTCCTTCCTTCATTCTTCATGCTTGGCTACCAACTTCATCATGTTTATTTTTGAGGGTCGGTGTGCGCGCGCATTGTAAGAATTTTACCCTCATATTTTTTCCAAACGCGAGAAAACAAGTATAACTTCAATAAGAAACACACAAACACTTCAATAATAAACACACACACACACACATAAACACACAAACACAAGCACACACGCACGCACACAAAATTGTAGTCTATTAGAATAATGTACGATAAAAGAGGGGGGATTTTGTAATTAGGTGCAGGGGAGGACTTCTAACCTCCACTTACAGATTCCAATGCACCGTTTCCAGCTTTCATGGTCACGGGACAGACTACACAGGGTACTAAGCGTCGGGAATTTGTAATCAAAATTAAAACGCGATAAAATCCGTAAACTTGTTTCATTTAGTATGTATTACATTCGCATAAAATCAAAATTCATTGTTTTTTGAAATATTCCATGGAGTTTATATAGAAATCTTACGCACGTTTCCATTAGATAAGAAATTCATTGTTTTTCATAAAATTTATTGGAAGTGTCATGCGTTTATTCCTTTTACTTAAACTTTACACAATCGTAGACTCGAAAACGTGTATGGATAATGTTAAAAAAATATTTTGAACGCAGTTTACACATAAAAGAAATATTTTTTTTTTTTCATAAATGGGGCTTCTTTCCCGATAAATGGAAACTTACCAATTCCAAAAATTAATTTCCATAAAGATTATTTAAACATATAGAAATAAGACGGATTATGTATTCTCGGCAAAGGTAGGCTCGTTAAGATATTTACTATGGCTTGAATGTTAGTTATTATGTTGCATAGACGTTAAGAATTCTATAATTTCTATTTAAAAATAATTTAATTTTGATTATTGCACTTTATGACTATGAAAAAATCAAATGTCTAGATCAATTAAAAAGGGATAACGCGAGGTTTTGTTTTTTTCACTATTCATCAAATTCCATCGTAATACGTTCAGCCATTTCGGCGTATAGAGCAAACGAACACGCGCACAAAATGTCGCATTTACAATACTATTGATAACTACTTGTGTTGTTTTGTTGCAGGGTCGTGTTAACTAAGAACCCACAATGACTTGACTCATAGCACCATTTCCAAATCCTTTAGAGAATTCCAGAAACTGCTTTACGAACCGGTGGTAACTTACGAACGTATTAATTTTTATTTAAAATTTTCATATTTCACAAGAACGCGCAAGCATCTATGTGAATGTATATATTTTAGATTTTAACTAATGAACCTTAGCGTCATCTGGGATTATAACCAGAGACTCTAGAGTAGATACTCTATGGCCAGTTTTATTAAATACCTAGAACGTGTGTGATTTGCATTTTTTTCGTTCAGTTTTTTTTTTCCAACATCATTCTGTTCTCATAACGCCAATATAAGGAAATTATCACTGAACATCAGGTGAATCGCCTGTCCGCTTGCCAATTTTCACATAAAAAAAATAAAATAAACGGATGAATTTAAAATACAAGTCTTGCTAATTAGTAGGTATGGATTATGTAAAAATATTTCTTTTTCCGCATAAGTAATTAGTAATTTATACATCGAAATACGCAGATTTATAATTCTTCTTTGTAATAAAGCTATATTTTATTTTATTTTCTTAATTTTGTCTATGGTAGAGCCACTACCAACCCAAATATGGATTATCTAAAATTATTTCTCTTTTCGATTAAATAATTTAAAATCAAAAATCAAAATCAAATGTATTTATTCAACATAGGAGCATTACACTCACTTATTGATAGTCAAAACACTACCACCGGTTCGGAAAAGAAAGCCACTGTACTGAGAAGAACCGGCGGAAGAAACTCAGCGGGCTTTTTTTTTAAATAAGCAGTTTGACATAAATTCGTTAAAATACAATATAAGAACTCCGATTGAAAGAGCCTGGAGCGATCAGTTCATTACCAGAGTGTGTTATCATTTAAATAATCATTAATATTATAGTAGCCTTTAACACACAAACGTTCTTTTACTATTTTTTTAAATTTAGCTATTGATGCATTTTGAACGTTTTCTGGAATTTTGTTGTAATAACGTATACATTGTCCCATAAAAGATTTACTTATTTTACGCAGTCTACTTGTGGGTAGGATCAATTTATTTTTGTTCCTAGTATTTATATCATGAACATTATTGTCTTAAAAATTAATCCTTATTTTAATGGACATACAAAACATTTTCAAAAATGTATTGAGCAGTAACAGTCAATACCTTTATCTCTTTAAACAAGTTTCTTAACGATTCTTTGGGACCCAGATTGGTAATTTATCACTTGAGAAATGCAGATTTATAATTCTAATTTGTAATAAAGCTTATTAGCATATTTTATTACTAGGCCATAGCACCGCAAAGCCGCCGACACTGGACAGTTTTTGTTAAATACCTAGGAAATGTGTGATTTGCATGAATAACTTTTTTTCAGATTTTTTTAAGATCATTCTGTTCTCATAAGGCCAGTGACACCAGACGAACTCACGTTTCGTCTGGTGTGTGAGGTAAACGCATGTTTTCAGATGTTCTACATGTCGATGTAAAGTAAAGTAACAGCCTATAAATGTCCCACTGCTGGGCAAAGGCCTCCTCTGTAAAGAGGGTATCAAGGCATGGACTATGCCACGCGACCCTACTGCTGATTGGCGGACTTCACATATTTTTCGAAATATTTTTTTATTATTTCGAAAATATGCAGGCTTTCCTCACGATGTTTTCCTTCACCGCCGAGCACGTGATAAGTCAGCACTTAAAATTAACAATTTCATTGGTGCTGGCACCGAGGATCGAACTCGAGTAAATTCAATTAAAGGCAAGGGCCCGGACACTGAGCTATCACGGCTCAATATGTCGATGGGCGGCGGTAATAACTTAACGTCAGGTGAACCGTTTGATCGCATGACAGCTTTTGATATAAAAAACAGCATCTGTGTTGTACTATAGATGGAAAAGGTTTCTCAGCTCATCATCTAGATCAGTAAGTCCTATTTAGATTTTATTGAGTTATAAATTTACCACGATTTTAGACACAACACTATATAAAAATAATTTATTAACTCCAACAACAATGAGATTCACGAAGCATTCCATAGTGTCAAGTTTTACACCGTCATAGCAAATTTTACATTAAAGCAAGCCCAATTGCCAGCTACGTATGTAAATGAATGTCACTTAAGCGATTGGCAAGG